CTAACAAGAAATTACTTAGCTCATAATTTGAATTACAAGAACTAAATAATTAGTATAATTCATTGCTCAACAAAATTCTAAATCCAAAGAGAAATTAAATGCAACATATGAGATAAAAGAGAGATTCAACTGGTTTGGAGCTTTTAGCATTTTTATCCTACTTTTCCTTCTTCTAGCAAGCTTCCACAGGATGAAGAAGACTGGAAATCACCTCATCCCCATACTGCTCTCCTTTCTCTCTGTATACCCAATTTAGCTCTCTCCTTCTCCTCTCTCTTTGCGGTCCTTCTCTTTTTTCTTTTTTTTTTCCTTTTTTTCTCTCACAAAATATGGCATAAAGCCTTATTAATGCTTCTCCTTTTTTCTTTTGGTTTTCTCGGGCTCTGTACATTGAGCTTAGGGAGCAAGATGGCTTCCCCTTTTTCTTTTCCTTGCTGCGGCCCTCCCCTTTCTCTTTGCAACTGCTTTCTCTTTATGGCTATATTCTTCTCTAGGGCAGAGAGAAAGGATGTTGATGTGTCACTTGGTGAGTGGTTTGGGCATAAATGACATATGCACAGCATTCTCCGCTGTGTACCTTTATCTTTTTCCATCGCTCTGACATGTACTGATGTCATTCACTAAGCTGTCTACTATCAAATGCAACATTTTTCTTCACAATTCCTGCAATTCACACCAACGCACCTTAGACACAACTCATCCTTTTTTTATTCAACTTTTTTTGAAATCACCACAGAAATAGCACACGTACAAATCTTAGCAGAGTACATCACAAGAACTAAAAGTTAAACACATAAAACAGAAAAACAAACAACTAAACCTTTGGATTAGCAACTGTAAACCTAAAAATACCTAAAATAACTCTAATTGCTAGAGTTATGACAAAATAAAGTGGTGATAGGACGACGGATTGAAAGGGTGGTTCAAAAAAGGATTAATGAAGATCAACAACCTCATAATTTGTCACAACCGTTTTCTTAATATTACTTTTATTTCTTTTAATAGGTATAGGATATTGAAAGCTACGTATAAACAACGAACCCTCAATATTCCTCATCCATTCCATTTTTATCCTCCAATGCAATCTCATATCTCTATAGGGTCCACACAGATTACGCCACCTCATGTTCATCCTTTGCAAAGTACGTCTCATTGAACAAATCACTCACAATTTCCATTTGAACAATGTTAGAATTACTCATTCTATCACTTTTTTTATCACTTTCTATATTTGTTATTTGATAAGTAGACTCTATTAATATGATATATTATTATTCAAACAAAAAATGAGTTAGTAGAGTTCGTGCGTCAAACTGTGAATGCAGAGAATCATAAAGAGAGTGACAAAAAAGTGATGATAGCGTTTCCAATCTCCACTTTTCCCTTCTTTAATTTCTCACTCCTCATCTACCCACAATACTATTACTATCAATATGAGTCAGACTTTAAATTCAATGAGGGCACACATAAAAGTAAATTTTTCAAATTGACATAATATGAATATGAAGTGAATATTTCTAACATTTCTTAATAACTAAATTTAATCTACCCATTCATCTTGTTATAATATTATGCACGTTCTAAAATATATCATAAATATAGAAACAAAATACAATAAAGACATGAAAGCAAATATCCTAAAAGTAAAAAAATTAATAGACAATAGACCATGTGTACACCTAATTCAATAAAAAGCTAATATTTAAAAAGTCTTTACATGTTACCTCTAAATAATTATATTTCTCTCTCCTAATATATTTTATATTATTTAATTTAACTAAATCACCATAAATGCAATACCTTCTCTCTTGTTAATTAATTTAAAATGGCATTTTTATTTATTATATAAAAATGATATTTGTTAGCGGTTACTTAAAAATTAGGACAAATTTTATTTCTACCCCCTTAAACTATAATGACATGTTAATTTTGCCCTAAAAACTTTTAAAAGTGGTATAAATGCCTTTTAAATTTTAAACCGTTAGCAAAAATGTCCTTTCTGCTACATTTTGTTAGATTGAAGACATGGCACAAAATTAGAAGCTAAAAAGCCTAAATTACCAATAATAATATTAAGAAACGATCATTAAAAAAAAAAGAAAAGAAAACAAAATTTCTTTTGAAGAACCCCGATCCTCATAGAAGCCGATTGGACATTTGGCTGGGCGGCGGTGTTTCCAATCCCATCCTCCACGTCACCGAGCTCTTTGTAAAAATAACTTAACAGGAAATTTTTAAGCTCGTTTAGTTCGCTGATTCGAGTTCTTAATTTGAGTTGATATGTGACTTTATGTGAGAGCTTTTTATTGTAGTAAAAAAATTAGATATAACTATTTCTAAGAACTTTTTACTATAATAAAATTCAAATTTTAAACTCAAATCGTTGAAATAAACGGAACCTTTACTTGTAAAATAACTTTCTAAACATTTTTATTTGTAAAGTTTTTATTTATGGGCGTTCTTTATTAAAAATGAAAAAAAAAATCATTTTGTCAATTTCAATTCGTTTGATGGTCACTCTAATAAATTTGTCGACCTCACCTGACTTGTCTTCCTCCTTGAATCTAATAGTCATACACCGATTTTGCATATGGATTGAGAGAGGCGGTCTTTGAGGATCACCGCAATCTCTCCGGCGGCATCGGCCGCACCGGCGAGCCGAAATCAAGAGCGAACCTGTTTTTGGAACCTTTCGCCTGACGAAGAGTCGGCGCCTTCAGGTGGGTAGCGTCCATACCTCCGAGATGCGAATTCAAACTGAGTCAGCTATTTTCCGACCACCGAGTTTGGATGAACACCATTTCCAACGTATGTAATTGGTCTTTTTGGTTGAAATTGCTCTGCAGATTTTGAGATATCTATCTCTAGCCGAAGACAGAATCATATTTCAAATAAACTTCTTAAATATCTTGATAGGTGAAGGTATTTTATGTTTATAATAGTTTTTTATTGTTTTCAGTGGAGGCACGAGTTCCAATGGCCTTATAGTATCCACGTCACCTACCATTCATATCACACCTACACCACTTCACCCATTATTAAAAAAGTCACCTTCCATGCACGTGCATGCCTCAGTACCTCCAATTAGTGGTGTACAAGAATCGGATTACACGGATAGTCATTTAATTCGTTGATTTAAATTTTTAATTTAAGTTAAAATGTGATTTTATGTGAGAATTTTTTATTATAGTAAAAAAGTTAAATGTAAATTTATGTGAAAACTTTTTACTGTAATAAAAAAGTTAGATATGACTGTTTCTAAGAGCTTTTTACTGTAATAAAACTCGAATTCTAAATTAGAATCGTTGTAAGTTCATTACTTCGTATTAAAAAAATAACAATTTGATACCAATCTGTGAGCCACAAATTCAATCCAATCTGATGTAAAAATAACCGATTTTACGGATTTGAGCATTGAGACTATGTTTTAAGACTCATGTAGGCCCTTTCTTTTCACTATTCTCGTAAAATTAATTACAAAATGAAAAATAAATACGGACATAACATAACATAATAGTAAAGCAGTTAAAAATCCAATTCATTTCAACATAATCAAATTCAAGTCTTGGACAATAAACACAAAAATAGGATTCAAATCCATCACAACAAATAAAATTCAATAAAACTCAAAGTAAAGTCATCATCAACCATCAACATTAAATATCTATTAAAACATATACATGCATATCATACATCACCAATAAAAATCAAATATAGTATACCTATTTTTTTTTTAAATTTATAGAAAAACAAATAATGTATAGATTTTAGATTGACAGATTAATGCGGACTAAGAAACGCTCAATCCACAATCCAATCCATAACCTTTAAATTAAAAAAAAAAACAATTCATTACCAATTCAAAAATTTCTCAACCCAATCCAATCAAACGAATTAGAATGATCTTAACCAGATTGAATAGATTGGACAGATTGGTGGATTCAATGAACACCCTTACTTTTGAATTTCGAACTCCCCACTTCCGAATACACCTATTTACACTAGCCCACCAAACCAAACTAAACCATCCCATGCCATGTAAATCCATGCTAAAAATAATATCTTCAAAGAAAATCCCAAATACTCTCCAACCACTACCATGAAGCCTTAATCTAGAACCCACTAGTGTCTCATCTAAAAGAATTTTCATCTCAGTAGGTGAAGTCACTGAACCGATGGGTTGCGATATTCGAGACCCACCCACAAAGTCGCTTCGTCTCCTCCCTTGTGACCCTAATTGCAATTCTATCAGGACGGAGAGGCCGTGATTTCATGACCCTATATGTGATTCAAGAGGTTGCGATTTTACAACCCTAGTCACAAACCGTATCGTCAGGGTTGCGATTTCATCGCGACCAAGGTCCAGAGAAATAGAGGTGGAGGGCTTGGCTGAATTTTTTTTTTAAGTATTTTTCATTTTTTTTGGGACAAAATCATTTTGGTACCCTCTATATAGTGAAATATCTCACTGATATCTTGTGTTCTCAATAATATTAAGACGGTACCTTCACATTTAAAAAAAAAAACATCCTTTTGATACTTTGAGACAGACTTTTGGCGTATAAAGAACTCGTTTATTTCACAAATTCGAGTTTTGTTATAGTAAAAAACTCTTAGAAACAGTCATATCTAACTTTTTTACTATACTAAAAAGCTCTCACATAAAATTACATCTCAACTGGAATTAAAAATTCAAATCAGCGAACTAAACGGGCCTAAAATATCTATTCTACTTGATCTTCTCACTTGTTAACAACAAACTAATTATCCTAGATATTAAAAGACCGTTGAGTGTTGGCAAATGATTGTCTGTTTGCATTCTGCGGGAAAACGATCTGAGACCATTGATTTGAATCTAACGGTTTTGAAAACGTGGCTCATACGTAGATGTAGCTTGGGCATTATAGGTTTTCAATAATATATGTGTGTGTGTGTGTGTGTGTGTGTGAGAGAGAGAGAGAGAGAGAGAGAGAGAGAGGATAAGTTCTGTAATACTGAAAATGGAACGAAAAGAGAATAGTGGCGGGGGACCGTCTTTGATATGGGAAAACATAACTGTAGTGGCAGCAGAAAACAAGAAAAGTATTGGTAAAGCTGAATCATCATCAAGGAAACTGCTAAACGAGATAAGTGGCTATGCTGAACCCAATCGGATTATGGCTCTCATGGGTCCTTCTGGCACTGGAAAATCTACTCTACTTGATGCATTTGCTGGTATAAATTCTCTCTTTCTTATTATGAGTAGCTCCCTTATATATATATATATATATATATATATATGTATGTATGTATGTATGTATGTGTACATATAATTCAGTAAATTTTATGCTTTTTGAACATCGATTTAGAGTCTGTGCTGCATTCTGTCATGAATGTTAGTTTCTCAAACCGGATTTTCAAAAAAAAATTGTGCGAAAGCATGATATCGATCGAATCACATAAATCAAAATTTAATGCGATTATTATTTCATGTTATTTTAAGGGGATGAATTTTGGGGATAAGTGAGCAACGAAAATAAAAGTTTTTTTTTTTCTAGAGAGAACAGAAAGAAAGAAAAAGAAAACCAAAGAAAATTTCTTGAGTGCCATCATATACTTTTGAGAAAAGTGAGTGATAACTATAGGTGGCTTTCCTATTCATCCATCTCATGTGTTGAGAAACCCATTAGAACGCCCACACGTTCGAGTTCACGTTAATCCGGAGATACATTGAGAAAGAACCGTGGTGTTCTTGGAATTTAAGAGCTCAAGACGGTGTTGGAGGAGTTCAAGATTTTCGTCCTAATCAAACAACGGTCAAATCCTCATTCCTTTCTTTAATATCTTTGTAGTTAAAATAACATGAAATAATGATCGCATTAAATTTTGATTTATGTGATTCGATCGATACCACGCTTCCGCACAATTTTTTTTGAAAATCCGGTTTGAGAAACCAACAACTCGTATCAGAGTGGTTTTTATTTCATGCTAATTTAACGTTTAAATTATGTGATAATTCTTAGATGTTTAAAGGGTAGGCACTTTTGCATATGATGTATAATTATTGTGTGATGGTTATGTTTTATGCGAATGGATTGGTCATAAATTTTTCCGGTTCCATGAAATTAGTTTTTGCTATTTTATTTTGATTAGATCAATTGTAAAATAGGAATCAATATGTAATTTATTATTCTCTTAAAGCAAGAGGATCATCATGGAAGAGTTTCAACTATTTGTTTTTAGAAAAGTTCCAAACTATCAAAAAAAAAAAAGAGGAGACATTAAGATGGAGAATATTTGAAGATGGAGAATTACAAGAAGACCTATTTTTGATGTAATTTTATTTTTATTATTATTTTGGGGTTATAATTCTTAGGTCCATAGAACCTGACGAAGTTTTTCCATTTCGCTTGCATGTTATTTATTTATTTATTATGTTTGATAATAATTGTATTGTCATGCATCTAACATGCCATCTAGGATAAAAGTGCCTACCTAGTTTATATGTATGACATGCATCATGCGCATTAATTATATGTTTTAATTCTAAAATTGTTTTAGTAAATTAAATTAATTAAATGCGCCAAATTGTTGAGGTTAATGAGATTAAATTCAAAGTTATTAAATTTAATAAGATTAAATTTAAAGTTGTTAAATTTAATGAGATTAAATTTAAATAAATTAGCAAATGGTTCTTGCAAAAATTTATATGAGTCAAATGTGAAATTTATAAATTTAAATGTTAAATTTT